TTTGGATCCTCGGGTGGGGTCTTGGGAGACTGGCAGACAGACTCCCTCCGATTCCAGAGCCCATGGGCCCAGAGAGGTGCATCAGAGGCAGACCTTGAACTCCTGCAGAGGGCAGGTGGGAGACCCATCAGCAGCCCCAGATCTGGGTGAAGCTGGGAGTGGTGCAGACCCAGGGCGGGAGAGCCCTGGAGGACCCGCAGAGCTCATATGAGGTATGCTGTCGGACAGCCGGGAGGGCAGGGAGCACCTGGGGCTAGGGCAGCCAGATTGGATTGGGACAAGGCAGGAAAGTCCTCTCCCCAGTCCCAGGACTTCATTCTTCATCTCACACTTTCTGATTGAGTGCTGGGACACCCAGGGATGGCAAGTGGGTTTTGTTTATTTCTTTGTTTGTTTTGAGACGTAGTCTTGCTCTGTTGCCCAGGCTGGAGTGCAGTGGCGCGATCTCGGTTCACTGCAATCTCTGTCTCCTGGGTTCAAGCAATTCTCCTGCCTCAGCCTCCTGAGTAGCTGGGATTACAGGCACATGCCACCATGCCCAGCTAAAAATTTTTTTTTTTTGAGACAGAGTTTCGCTCTTGTCACCCAGGCTGGAGTGCAATGGCGTGCTCTAGGCTCACTGCAATCTCCCCCTCCTGAGTTCAAGCAATTCTCCTGCCTCAGCCCCCCGAGTAGCTGGGATTACAGGCGCCCACCACCATACCTGGCTAATTTTTGTATTTTTAGTAGAGAGGGGGTTTCACCATCTTGGCCAGGCTGGTCTCGAACTCCTGACCTCGTGATCCACCCTCCTCAGCCTCCCAAAATGCTGGGATTACAGGCGTGAGCCACCGCGCCCAGCAAGTAGGTTTTATTTGATATGCCAGTTCCACCAGTTTGGTATCTGCTGTCTCAGGTACTGTGTCCAGTAGGATTCTGATACTAAAGTGGAGTTCAGGGGGAGTTCAGGAATGAGCATTGCTGACTGCCCAGCGACAAGGAACAGAATACAAGCTCCAGGCCACCTATTTGCCACCCTTCGGCTGGGCACTGGAGATATACAAAGAACAAGAAGCCTGGGTGCCTGTCTTTAGAGCACAGTCTAGAAACAGCATGACAATGAAGAGGCAGTGGAATGGATACTGTGAGCCTTGAGCCTATTAATTTAAATGAAACATACTCTCAGACTGCTTGTTAAATAACAGCTCTAGCAAAGCCATACGCTTTTTATTGTTCCATCATGCACACAAGAGAGAAGGAAAGTAACAATAATTATTTTCTGATTGACAGAGAAGTTTTTACAAGTATTTTACATCTTGAGAAGATGGTGATATCAGTTATAACATTATTACCAGAGAAATAACTGTTCTAGTAAAACAGAGAATTACAGGGGTGGGAGGTTGGAGGTTGTTTTCAGTTTATGGCAATAATTTACAAAGACCTGGGAGGTTTTTTTTTTTTGAGATGGAGTCTCGCTCTTGCTGCCCAGGCTGGAGTGCAATGGTGTGATCTCAGCTCACTGCAACCTCCACCTCCCAGGTTCAAGTGACTCCGACTCTCCTGCCTCAGCCTCCCGAGTAGGTGGGATTACAGGCGTGAGCCACCACACACAGCCAATTTTTGTATTTTAGTAGAGACAGGGTTTCTCTATGTTGGTCAGATTGGTCTTGAACTCTCAACCACAGGTGATCTGCCCGCCTCGGCCTCCCAAAGTGCTGGGATTACAGGTGTGAGTCACCGCACCCGGCCTAAAGGCCCAGGAGTCTTATATGACTCCTTTGTTCAAAAAACCCTTCGAAAGGTGTGATTTCACAGAGAGCGCACCCATTTGGTTACTGCTATGAACGTTCATAAGTCTGTATATTGCACAAGAGAACAAGATGCAGTATTCTTGGGAAAGTTCTCAATTTCAGAGCTTATGAAATCCATTTTCACTGATGCAGAACAGCTCTCCTTCCTCCACAGCTGCAGTGGAGCGATATCACATCATCTTTTTTTAGATTTCTTTTGTTAATTATGAACACTTGCAGTTTTTAGGCCAGGCTGTGGCCTAAAATTTCATCTCAAATGTCCTTTGATTTTGCTATCAGAAACAAAGAAAAGGCTAAGGAAGGTTTTTCTGAATAAGAGTAAAAAGTAAGATACCCAGAGCAGGTTTCTTCTCTGGGCCTGATGGGCACACCAGGACAAAAGTGGGCATGGCCGCTACTGAGGGACCCTGGAGCCCAGCACTGTGGCCCTTCTCACTCCCAGGCCTCCTGTGGTAGTCTTGAGGAAAAGGCTGTGCAGGTCCTTTTGGGGTGGTCTGCCTTGGCTGGGAGGATGAGAAAGATGGGGTAGGCTGTTGGCAGGCACACCTGACTAATAGGTGTGTGGCTGTCTGACTGATGAACTGTGACAGCCCTGAGGTTCAGACGGCACCCCCGGGGCATCCCCAGCCATGCACTGGGACTCCTTAAACTTCCTGGCTCTAGTCTAGGTGGACTGTGCATGAGAGGCTGGGACATGAACTCCCAACACTGGTCTTTCTCCCTCCTTACAAGAGCTGAACCCCACCAGCAGCAGGAGCTTTGGGGTGCCAGGCAGCTCAGAGTACAAGGTGAAATGTCAAGGGTGTCAGGTTGGGGATGGCAGGGGTGGACCTGCCTGAGAAGAAGCTGCTGGGGTGAGGGGGGCTCATCGCCGAAGCACCTTCCACACCACATAAAATGGCTTTAACAAATTCAGCAATCAGGCAAGGATTGGCCCCTGGAGTCTGCAGGTTCCCCTGAGAAAAGCGGCCCTGGCCGGGGGTTCCCTCTCAAGCCTGGACCCAAAGTGCTCTTCCTTTCCGGGACCTGGCCCAGAGGGAGGAGAGGAGCCAGGCAAAGCCTGAGACCCAGGAAAGAAAACTCACCCCCAGAACCCCTAGGGCACGGGGCCTGCCCTCCCAAAACCTGCCTTCCCAAGATGCCCCTGAAGGGCTGGGCTCAGACCCGTACCTGGGCCAAGGATGGACACCCTTCAGAGTCTGAGAGAGGAGGGCCCTCAGGATCAGAACATAGAGACCCCTCAGCATAATAGAGGGGAGGCCTCCAGGGGCGAGATCAAAGATGCTCCTCAGAGTCAGAAGGTGAAGACACAGGTGGGACAGAGCCAGAGGCCTCCTCAGGGTCAGAGGGAGGAGGCCCCCCTGGGTGAGAACAGGGGTGCTTCTCAGAGTCTAACAGAATTTAGTCTGAAGTTCCAGGGAATGGGGAGTCCCCAGAGTCCAGGAATGAAGATGCTGTGGTCTTGGGAAGGCAATATCTCTCGAGCATGGGAGGTGGCTCCCGGAGAGGCCACTGTACAGCCCCAGAGAAAGCCGGCCCCCAGAGCCATCCGAGGGACTCCTGCGGGTCCCTGAAAGCACAGACTACAACGCCTGTAGGCAGGGAGAGCCCAAACCTCCGGAGAGGGACCACCAGGCTGATGAAGGGCATGAGCAAAGGCGAGAGGCAAACGTCGGAACCTGCGGTGGCAAAGCTGGGGGCAGCCTGGGAGGGGGCGTGGGCTGCGCTTCCCAGCCCAAGGCTTGCGGCCTGGCGGCGGCTCCCAGGTCTCGGAGCCATGATGACAGCGACCCTGCGCCCCGAGGTATCCCGGAAGCAGGGGCTTGCCGCGGCTCTCTGAGGGCCCCCAGGCCTGGAGCGCGATCCGCACGGGCTGCAGGGCCCTGGAGCAGGCCCCGGCCCGGGGGAGCAGAAGGTGGGCTCCGCTCGGCTTCCGGTGACCTGCGGGGTCGGGGGAGCTGCCCTGAGCTTTCGAAGGCCGCGTGGCCGGAGCCCCACGGCAGGCCCAAGGCGCCAGCGGGCGTGAGCGCGGCGCAGCAGGAGGCGGCTCTGCAGAGGCTGCTGGAGCTGCACAGCGCGGCCAGGCGGCGGCGCCGGCGGGACCGTGAGCAGCAGCGGCTCCGGGTGGGTCCCGGCGCCAGGATCTGGGCCTGCCTGGGGCGCGCGGGGCACCGAGGGCGGTCGGACGCTGACTGCCGCCTCCGCGGGTCCTGGAATGCCTCCACATTGGCAGGAACCGCCACTGCCGGGTTCATCCCCTGGGGCACCCGCCTAGCGCGGCTCAACTCCCTCCACAGGCAAGACCCCCAGAAAGTGGTCACAAGGAGCCTGAGTGGGGCTGGGGTCAAGCTTGGCGCGCTCGGGTCCCTTTGAAGTGCGCAGTGACTCGGGCGGGGAGGGAGGGGCGGGTATGCCAGGTGCTGCCCTCCGGCCCCACTGAGCCGGGGACGCTCAGCGCTCTGCACCGCCAGGAGCATGCGGCCGGACGGCGACACGCCCTGCGAGAGCAGGTGGAGCAGATGCCTCGGGAGAGGACCGGGAGGCTGCGGGCCCTCGGGGCCAGGTGAGGGACTGACAGGGAGGGGTGTGGCGGTGGCAGGAGTCCGCTTTCCCCGGCCTCCGAGATGACAGGCCGTCCCCAGGAACACCCAGAACTTCCAGGAGCTCCTGTGGCCCCCTGTCGCCGAGGATCCCGTGCCTGCAAAGTAGTGCTTGCCCTTCCCAGCCCCCTCTGGGCATTGCTGTGTCCTCAAAAGGATGATTAAAGAGATGAGGGTTTGCTGTGGCTCATGCCGTAATCCCAGCACTTTGGAGGCCGAGGTGCGTGGATCATGTAAGGTCGGGAGTTCAAGACCAGCGTGACCAACATGGAGAAACCCCATCTCTACTAAAAATACAAAATTAGCCGAGCGTGGTGGCGCATGCCCGTAATCCCACCTACTTGGGAGGCTGAGGCAGGAGAATCGCGTGAATCCGGGAGGTGCGGGTTGCAGGGAGCCGAGATGTCGCCATTGCATTTCAGCCTTGGGCAACAAGAGTGAAACTCCATCTCAAATTAAAAAAAAAAAAAAAAAATTTTTTTTTTTTTTTTTCATTAAAAGAGCGAAAGAGTTATGGGAAAAGCGGGCAACTTGCAGGTCAGAGATAGTTTCAGAAACGCCTGAATGCAGCCGCAGGGCCAGAGAGAACAGAGAGCCACAGACACACACAGCAGCTTTGCCCCACCAGGAGGCCTGTTATTTTTTCTTCCCTCCCCTAAGCCCATGCCTGGCTGATGGTCAGAGGGCCAGGTCCCGGGGATCCAGTAGTGCGAAGGCCCCGTTCTTGCGGAAGAATGACTCAGTGCGGCACATCTTGCAGGAGACCAGTTCTTGCTTCACTGGGGGGCCTGGGAAAAGAGTTAGAGGCCAAGCGTGGGTTCCTGAGGGAAGGTCAGCAGAGCATGGGAGCCCTGTCAGTCTGCACAGCCCTAGGAATCCATCAGTGGAGTAGCCACTTTGTGGGAAGAAATAGAAAACACTTTGGAGGCGTGGGAGCTACGGGCACATACTGGGAGCTGACTGGATGCCAGGATACAGCAGCCATCTGCCATCATTACCCCAGCTTCAGGATCCTCTACCTGCCGGGTGGGGGGCCACCTAGGCCTGCTTGTCACTTGTGGAGAGATGGGGCTTGCTTCTGCCTCCTGCTCCCCACTTCTAGGGCTTGCCTCCTGCTTTTGTTAGAAAGTTACTTCCCTGACTTCCCCCGTAGGGCCCTGGGGGAAAGTGGTGTTTGGGGGTAAAATCTCAGCTGAGTTGATCCCCAGCCATCCACCTTTTCTGCCAGCTACTCAAGCAGCTGGAGGACACAGGGCGGGGGAGTCTTACTTGACATTCATGAGCAGATAGCAACATCACCCAGCAATCCCCTCTGGCACAGGCCTGCTCCACACCTTTCCTCTTCATCTCCAACTACTACACTGCCTGAGCTTGGCATCCTCCCAGCTGATGGCCTTGACTCAACCTCACAGAAAAAAGACTCAGCCTAGATGGACAGGCTTCCTGCCAACACCATCCCCTGACCGCCTCTGGCTCAGCCCTCCTGTCCCCACTCCCATCAGATTCCAGCAACTTGAGCTCTCAGGTGATCTCATGGATTTAAATAACACCTATAGGCCAAGGGCAGTAGCTCAAGCCTGTAATCCCAGCACTTTGGGAGCCTGAGGTGGGTAGATAACAAGGTCAGGAGTTCGAGACCAGCCTGCCCAATGTTGTGAAACCCTATCTCTACTAAAAATACAAAAATTAGCCAGGCATGGTGGTACATGCCTGTAGTCCCAGCTACTCAGGAGGCTGAGGCAGGAGAATTACTTGAACCCAGGAGGCAGAGGTTACAGTGAACTGAGATCGTGCCAATGCACTACAGCCTGGGCAACAGAGCAAGACTTCGTCTCACACACGCACACACGCACACACACACACACAAGCACCTATATTCAAATGACCTACAAACTTGCAAATTTGCATCTTCAGCTCTGACTTCAATCCAGACTTAGAGAGAGAGCCACCCTATGGACACTTGAAGCATAACATGGCCAAACACGCATGGTTAAATAGGACCTGTTCATGCACGCTTCCAGTCTTCCCTGTCACTGCAGCTTTAGCTAAACACCCAGGCATCACCATTGAGCTCTCTTCCCCTTATTCTCACATTCTATCCGTGGGTGAGTTCTACTGAGTCTTCCTACAAAACATCCTGAATTGATTCCAGCTCTATTGCTGATCCCTCAAGCCACTACCACAGGGTAACAAAACATGCCCACTCTCACATGCCAGATTGCACAATTTCCCCTGAAAAAGCCACTGCCTACATATAGGTCAGGGTGACTTTTTTTTTTGAGACAGAGTTTCACTCCATTGCCCAGGCTGGAGTGCAGTGGCATGATCTTGGCTCACTGCAACCTCCGCCTCCTGGGTTCAAGTGAATCTCCTGCCTCAGCCTCCTAAGGAGCTTGGACTACAGGAGCATGCCACCATGCCCGGCTAATTTTTTGTATTTTTAGTAGAGACAGGGATTCACTGTGTTAACCATGATGGGCTCAATCTCCTGACCATGTGATCCACCTGCCTCGGCCTCCCAAAGTGATGGGATTACAGGTGTGAGCCACCATGCCTGGCCTAGAGTGACTTCTTAAAAAGTTCATCAGTGTCACTCTTGAAACCTGCTTAGAACCCTCCATCGGCTTCCCTGCACACCAAATAAAATCCAAGCCCATTCTTGTCATCTGGCTCTCGGCCTCAGGTCCTCAGAAAGGCCTTTCCTGACAATCCAATAAATAGCAGCCCATGCCCCCTGCCTCCCTAGTTCTGTGGGATGTGTCCTTGGCCATCTCCTTGCTCTGTTTATGGTCTGGGTCCTTCACTAGGATGTCCACTCCCTGGCACATAGCAGGTGCTCTGTCTTTAAGGTGAGTTAATTTCCAAGAGGTTGGGCTCACCCAGCTGCCAGCCATATGTGAAGTTGGTGGTGATGGGAAAGAGGTATCTCGTCTCTGGCATGTCCAGTTTTCGGGTATTGAGGTAGCGATAGCGCCCCTGGAAGTCGTGGGAGATGCCTTCATACAGCAGGACTCGGATGGCAGGTGGTACCGGGTACATTTCTGCCTCAAAAGGAGCCTCTGGGACAGGGCTGGGTGCCTTGGAAGGGGCTGACTTGGGGGCGGGTGGGGGTGAGAGTGGGGCTTTGGGGTACAGGGTGGGCAGTTTGAGGGGCAGGCGGGCTGCAGCCTTAGCCTTCTGCTTGGCCTTCACCATCGACCCATACTTGCGGTACCATTCACAGCGCAACATCTTTTCCCTCATATATTCCTCCTTCCAGAAGTTCTGCCGCACCGTGTCCATGTTGAACTGCCGTGCCATGGTGGCTGGGAAGGAGCGGCACCAGGGTGGCTGCAGCTGAGGGGTGAGCACAGCAGAGTGCTTCTGATGGTGGGTGGCTACCCTGGCACCGTCACCTGGCAACCATGCCTCACCTCACACAGGGCCAGGGTTCTACCTGCATGCCCCCAGCAGACCTCATGAGCCTGGCTTCCTGAGACAGCCTGGGGCCCAGGTCAACTGGCTAAGAGCCCTGCTCCCCACACCCCCTACAGGGCCCACACAGGATCTGGTGTCACAGGCTCCCAGGTTTCTGGTGCTTTCTGCTTCTGTCCTTTGTGTTGGGCCCCCTTCCCAGCCCGATGGTGAGCAAGGTGGAGGCAGGGGCTGGGCTCAAGCCCTCCTTTTACTCCGCCCCACCCAGAGCTGGTCTTCTCTGATCTGAAGACCGGTCCCTGAGTTCTGCCTCCCAGCTTAGTCTTCCTGGGAGACAGCTCTTCCATGCCTGTCTTTAGCAGCACCTTTTGCATCCTTGCCAATCAAATCTGCCCCACAGCCTCACCCACACATGTCCTTTCCAGCACCCAGCCCCAGTTGGGAAAGAAGGAAGAATATGACTTTAATTTAACATCAACAATGACACTGTAACAGCACAGGGGAGAGGTAGTGGACAGAAGATGGTCAGGCTCCTGTTCCTTAACCAGCCTTGATTTTACAGCAGAGCCCCAGCAACCTAGAAGCGCCTCACTTAGCCTCTTCATGGAATGGGAAGGGGCAGGGAATTGGAAATCAGAGGCTCAAAATGTAAAGAGGCTGATGGCGAGGCTGGGGAGAGGCCTGGAAATGAGGGAAGGGCTGGGGGCTGTGAGGAGTCCCCTAGCGAAGGTCTTCAGCAGTGAACATGCCCCTGGCCCTGCGTAGGATGGAGTCCTTGGCGGCGTCATACGGGTGTTCCTTGGAGGGGATCTCCAGGACAGCTGGGATGGAGTGCTGGTGGGCGTCCAGGGCATGCCGCACCATCTCTGCGATGTACTGGTTGATGAGGATGATGCCAATGTCGTCCCGGTGTAGAAACTGCCTGTGGGGAGAGATGAGGAAGAAGTTCGGGACAGCCCTGGGGGCTGCCGTCTCGCCTGCCCAGGCAGCCCTCTCCAAGTGGTTGGGCTGGGCTATGGAGGGGAATAAGCATGACCCAGAGGGCACAGAATACAAGGGAAAAGGCTGCTATGCTCAACTCTCTCTCAACCCCACCTAGAATCAGTTTCATCCTAAAGCGGAGGGTCATGTTCATTAGGCTTGGCTTCTACAACACTGCCTAGAAGGCTGCCAAGTGAGCTGGTAATGAAGATTAATAAGGGTGCACAACGGTGTATTCAACATGCAGGGACGGTGTCAGGAAGGGGGATGATAAGATTATATGTACGCAGATCCCTTTTTATGAGCAGATACCGATGGCTGGGTTCGATGGCTTACACCTGTAATCCCAGCACTTTGGGAGGCTGAGGCAGGTGGATCGCTCAAACCCAAGAATTTGAGATCGAAATGGGCCACATAGTGAGACCCTGTCTCTACAAAAAATATACACACACACACACACAAGCACACAAAATAAAAAAATTGGCTGGATGTGGCAGCACATGCCAACTACTTGAGAGGCTACAGCCCCAGCTACTTGGGAGGCTGAGGTGGGAGAATCACTTCAGCCTGGGAAGTTGAGGCTGCAGTGAGCTGTGAACACTCCACTGCACGCCAGCCTGGGTGATAGGAGAGATATCCCGACTCAGGAAAAAAAAAAAAAAGAGACACATTAGGCTGGGTGCAGTGGCTCACGCCTGTAATCCCAGCACTTTCAGAGGCCAAGGCGGGCGGATCAGGAGGTCAGAAGTTTGAGACCAGTCTGTCCAAACTTCAAATGGGGTTTCAAATACAGTGAAACCCCATCTCTCTAAAAATACAAAAAAAGTAGCCAGGTGTGGTGGTATGCACCTGTAATCCCAACTACTCAGGAGGCTGAGACAGGAGAATCACGTGAACCCAGGAGGCAGAGGTTGCAGTAAGCCGAGATCGAGCCATTGCACTCCAGCCTGGGTGACAGTGCAAGACTCCATCTCAAAATAAAAAAACAATAAAGAGAAGACACATTAACTTTTAAACAAACTTTTTTTTTTAAATAAATAAGGCCATGGAAAAAACTAAATTTTTTAAAACTAGGGCGGATGAGACTAGTGAAGGCCTCAAGATCTAGATGATGAGGGTGGTGAAGGAGTCCGAGGGAAAGTTTGGCATGAACCAAGATCACAAGCTAGGAAGAGGGCACTCAGTGATGAGGGAATCACACTTTCTCCACAAAAAAGAACCTAGCCTTGTGATCCTTGTCTCCTGTGATCACCCACCCATTCATTCATTTATTTTATTTTTTTGAGGCAGGTCTCCCTCTGTCACCCAGGCTCGAGTGCAGTGGTACAATCTCTACTCACTGCAACCTCCACCTCGCGGGTTCAAGCGATTCTCCCGCCTGTCTCCTGAGTAGCTGGGATTACAGACACTCACCATCATGCCTGGCTAATTTTTGTATTTTTAGTAGAAACGGGGTTTACCATAATGGTCAGGCTGGTCTCAAACTCCCAACCTCAAGTGATCCACCCACTTCGGCCTCCAAAAGTTCTGGGATTACAAGTGTGAGCCACCGAACCAGCCTCATTTGTTTATTTGCCAGTTAAAAATTATTTACTGAGCACCCACCCCCAGCTGGTAACTGGGTTAGATTTGTTCTCTGAGGTCCCTTTTGGTTGGAAACATGGAAAATTCTTGAAGTAAAATTTGTCCTTCTCCCATGACAACTTGGGTCACTTTACCAGACAGCTTAGAGATCGGCAGATAACAGCCTCCCAGGTCAGGGGCTACCATACCCCAGGCAGCAAGAACCAGTCTCAGCCGGCAGCCCTGGGCTGGGCTGTTTAGGGGGAAACAGGTGAGTGGCTAGGGTCAGGGGCCCTGGAGATGAGGTGAGGGAAAGAATAGGAGGCGGCTGGTATCCTCAATTCCAGACACCAGGCCACCAGGTGGATTAAAGGCATGCCTTCGACGACACTTAGGCATGCCTGACCTAAGTCAGGGAGTGAGGGATTGAGTGCAAGTTTTAGCAGAAGGCTCTCACAGTCCTGATATTTTCTGCCTACTGTGCTCAGGACCAAAGAGAAATTCCGAGGCCGACTGAGGAGAGCTGCAGAGTGTGTACCTGGCTTACCAGAGGCAGAAAGGGTTGGGATTGGGTTCAAATTCCAGCTCTGCCTCTGTCGACTCGTGACTTTGGTGTGTGCCTTAACCTCTCCGAGCTTTAGTTTTCTCACCTGTAAACAGGACAAAATCACCCCTGCCTTCCAGGTCGATGGTAAGCCTCTAAAGGAGGGGAAAGCAGAACAAAGTCCGAACCCACTGCCTAGGTGCTCATCGGGGATGCGGTTCCTTTAGGGGGGCAACTCGCAAAAGAGCCGAGCCCTACTTGGGAACAGGCGTCCAGGTTGGCAGTCGCCGGGGACTGGGCGCTCTGAACGCTCAGCCATGGAGGGGGACAGGTTGTGCTGACGGGCGGTGCCCGTCACGAGCTCTGTTCCCCTTCTTTCCTGACACACGATCATGTGAGACGGGAGCTCGTGGACTTGATACAGCTTCAGTCCCACCGAGTCCCAAACGGGAACTTGGGGCGCGGAGGCCTCCGCTCCGAAAGGGCGGGCGGACTTCCAAGACCGTCCCCTTACCCGCGTCCCGGCCTCACGCCTCGGTCCCCCGGCCACCTCCGCCCTCGCCCCGCACTCCATCCGGCAGCAGAAGGGCCCATTCAGGCCTCGCGGGCTACCGTACCGGAAAGTGTCTTCGATCTCATTGATGGTTGTATCCTTCTCCACCACCAGGAAATTGGGGTGGCGGTTCTTGTTAAGCTCTCCTATGCCGCCCAGCAGGAAACCAGTCACCGTGTCCTCGTCTCCGATCACTGCGATGAGCTTCCCCCTCCCCGCCATCCCTGCAGCCGGGCAGAGATCACCCCCGAGCACCAGAAGCCACCGAAGCCCCGCCTCCGCCGTGCGGCTCCCCGTTGGCCTCACCCCCACCCTTCGAGCATGCGCAGTTCTCCCAGCCGCCTCCCGGGACATGCGCATTAACAGCAACACGGCCTCAGTGTGAATGCGCCTGCGCCGTAAAGACAGGCCCGAACCAGCGGACTACGGTTCCCAGAAGGCCGCGCGGCACGACGTCCTTCGCGGGAATTCATTCGTTCATTCACTTCTTCCTTGGTTCATTCGTTAAACAAGCGTTTTGAACCAGGCACTGTTAAACGCCGAGACCCCAGAGCAGAGACGCAGTTACTGTTTCCTGGGATTATTCTCAGGGGCAGGGTCTGGGTCTTTATTGTGTATGTATGTATGACACATAGTTAACTCATACACATCTGTTCAATTAAAGGAATGCAGAAGTTAGTGATGATACTGTCTAGTGAGGTGGAAAGTCAAGGGAACAGGCGATTACAAAGCTGTGTGTTAATTGTTAGAATGTAAGAAGTACATGGAAGCGCACATCTATGGCAACTAACCCATGGAGAGAGGGGGCGTCCAAAGAACCCTTCCCCCAGAAACTTGCTTCGCATCTAAGCTGAGACCTGAAGGACCTGCAGGATGAAGGGGATAGAAATGAGGACAAGAGGGTGTTCTAGGCAAAGGAACAGTATATGCAAAGGCGTACTGAGTAGAGAGCGTAGGGCCTTCAGGGAAAGTTAAAGAATTGGTAAGGCCGGGCATGGTGCCTCACCTGTAATCCCAGCACTTTGGGAGTGCTCCCGAGATGGGGGAGGATCACTTGAGCTCAGGAGTTGGAGACCAGCCTGGGCAACATAGTGAGACTCTGTCTACAAAACACTTTAAAAATTAGCCAGGTAGGCTGGGTGGTTCATGCCTGTAATCCCAGCACTTTGGGAGGCTGAGGCAGGTGGATCACCTGAGGTCAGGAGTTTGAGACTACCCTGGCCAACATGGCAAAACCCCATCTCTACTAAAAATACAAAAAAAATAGCCACAAGCAGTTGCGGGTGCCTCTAATCCCAGCTACTCAGGAGGCTGAGGCAGGAGAATTGCTTGAACACAGGAGGTGGAGGTTGCAGTGAGCCTAGAATGCGACATTGCATTCCAGCCTGGGTGACAGAGCAAGAGTCTGTCTCAAAAAAAAAAAAAAAAAAAAAAATTAGCCAGGCATGGTGGTTGCACACTTGTAGTTCTAGCTACTTGAGAGGCTGAGGTAGAGTGGCTCACTTGAACCCAGGAGTTCAAGGTTACAGTGAACTATGATCAGGGCACTGCACTTAAGCCTGAGCAGCAGAGCAAGATCCTGTCTCAAAAAAAAAAAGCACTTTGGGAGGCTGAGGTGGGCAGATCACCTGAAGTCAGGAGTTTAGACCAGCCT